GAGGAGGAGGAGGAGGAGGAGGAGGGGGATGGATGCGAATCACCGCAGGCAAATCTTGCCGACACCTCCGGGAACGGGGTGGTGGGAAAAGGAAACGACAACAAAAAAATAAAGGCGTTACAAAAGCCCACCAAGTCTACCCGAATGCGCTCAAAAGGGTATGTGGAACTAAAACAGAAACTCTCAGAGGCTGCTGCCGCACGGCGTGAGGCAGCCATATACGAGCATCATATGAAAGGAACAGATTCAGAAGAAGTAAAGTCAGTGTCGTGGCCGGAGCGTGTGGTAGAGAATGAACTAAACCGTCCAGAGGATGTCCTGGACCGAGGCGTGTGTGGGTGCGCTGGTTGTGGTGTGATTGTCTACTGTTCCAGGGATTGCTGGCAGGAGTATCGCGAGGTCCATAAAACGACAGGTGCCTGTCAAACATTGCGTGGCGTGTACCCGTCACTCATGAAGGCATTCATGACGCGGGGAGGAAAAAATCCAAAGTCAGCAGCAGCAAAGCAAAGCTTGCTGGACTCGTGGAGTGTAAAGCAGTGGCTTCGACGGACGAGCGAGGAGACGGCGTGGGATATTCAATTATTGCTACTGGCGGCGTTGGTGATGGCGCGGTGCGCGAAGGAAGGGTTCGCCAGCCATATGGCAGAAGAGTTGACAGCTTCGCCTGACACAGTGAACGTTGGGGGTATTGGAGAGACGACAGAAGAGGCTGGGTGCTCCATTACCAGCGAACTTGTTACAGAGTCGATAAGAGAGGACAAGGGACCATCGAGTCGCAGTGCGACCACTGGAACAGCAGAATCATTACCAGTAGCAGTATCAATTGCCACAGACTCTGCTATGCCCAAAGAAATGGAGACAATTCGTGCGAGACGCCTGCGTTGTGGTACCGCGCTGGAGATATTGGATGCAAAGGCGGTTGAGCATGAGCGTGACGCCGATGCACCAGCACCAGCACCCTCACAGTTGTACGTTGTCTTAAAGGACCGTGCAGTTCTGAGAGTGAGTAATGCTAAGGAGGCAACTAACGCCATTCGAGATCCGTGTTGGACTGATGTTGCTCGCCTCGTCACGAACCTCTCCGTGCTAAATAAAGACTCACGGAGTAGCTTCCGCAGCTACTACCGTCGTTTTAACGAGCTTGTCCTCCCCTGGATCTGTGGTGGTGGAGAAACTGACACTATATTTAGTGTTACAGCCGATTTTTTTGATCGACTGGGTGCTGCGTCTCAGTGTAACAGCTTCGGCCTCTTTGACGCGAAGGATATTCGTATCGGTGTCACGCTCTACCCTGAGGCTTCATACTTCAACCACAGCTGCTTCCCAAACCTCTGTCGCGTCACCTCTCGTGGATGCCTCGCCGCTTTTTACGCCCTTAGAGCCATTCGGAAGGGAGAGCCACTCACAATATGTTACGTGGACATTCAGGAGGCATCGACGGCAGAGCGTCGCCGCAATCTGCTGAGGTCGTACCGCTTTTTCTGTCAGTGCGGGCGTTGCCGCGGAACCACAGCCCCCACCACTACCAGTATCACCACCAGCAGCAACAGCAGCACACTCATGGATATACCGCTGTGCGACGCTTGTGACGCACACGGCTACATGTGCCCTGTGCCACCAGAAGCGAGTTTGTGCTGGGGAATGGATGAGGTGCAGGAAAGAGAGTGTACAGTGTGCCACCGCCGTGTGCGGTGGATACATAAGTAGCGCTTAAAGTCACATATGTGTGTCTCTCCCTTTGTATTTGTCTGCTTAAGCTTCTAATTGCGTTTGTCTCATACGCCCGCCTTGTGGGTATAATTTGTGGCTTTTGGTTTCAGACAAAGTTGGATCCCTTGTCGCCATGCAAAGACGATTGCATGTGTGACTCCAATGGTTTTGGCTTTTCTTCTGTTATTCGCCATTGACTTAACAGGCGCCCACCGAACAAGAAGAGGAGGTGAAAAAGACAGAAAGAAAGGGAGAGCGCGTGTGGGAGGGCATACGCTAGGTTGTCATGGATGCTTCTAACAAGAGGGATTTCCGGCATTTTGTCCTTCTGCAGCACGGCGTCTTGGGGACGCCCGCCGATGTTGACGCACTTATATGCCACCTCTTCCACGAGAATGAGAGGCGCGGCCGGGGATGTCGCGCAGAGCTCTCAAGTAACACAACAAAAGTTCTTGCCTTGCCCCTCGACGTGACGCGCACCACCAACAAGCATGGTGGTTGCATCTTTACCAAGGGAAACCTTGTCTGTTTTGCTCCTGGGAGTAACAAATTTTTAGGTACCAACCGGTCTACGTGTAGCTGTGCCAAGCGAGTGCTCAGGGAGTTCCTGCCAGTCTTCAGTGAGTGGCTGGACGCTGCGCGACGTGCAGATGATAGTCTGCTGTGTTTTTCCTGCGTCGGACACTCGTTTGGTGGCCTCATCATGCGGGAAATGCTGTACCTCCTGCTGACTGCCACGGAATTGGAAGGGTGGGAGTCAGGGCTCTTCGCTGCGGTGCTGCGCGTGCGTGAGGAACTTGCGGAGCTGAACGTGACGCTGGAAAACTTTGTTACCATCGCAACGCCGCACTGTGGTGTCTCCGAGTGTCTTCTCACACCTGTGTACTGCGGTGCTTGGGTTCTCGCCAAGACGTGTGCGCCATCGATGCAAGAGCTTCTCCTGATGGACA